TATTTTTCGTTTGCTTACTCATACTTGTGTACGCATTTGCTATTATTACAAATGGTTGGGATTTTTTACTTTAACGTGTGTTTTTAAATCATCAGCAATTTAGATAAATTAGGACCCTGAGCCTCCATGTGTGAACACGTTTATTTCCTCAGGTAGCACAACTTTTATTACTAAGCAGGTCTGTAACTGTAGTTTGAAACAAAACTACGCTTTTCAGTTTGAGGATGTGGATACAGCTTACCCAGTGTCATTTTACACAGCTGATGGATGCATTTTTATGCATATGATAAGGTATGATATCATCTGCTACTTTGTTTTGTGTATTAAAATAAGCATCTCTCACCTGTGACTTATGCTCAACCTTATCCCGCTTCTTCAAATGGTTAATTTCATATCTGTGTAAGATAGGTGTGATTCATATCAATAGGTACATTAAAGGCTCCACATGAGGCCGCAGTCAGATGTCATAGGGACTACAAATGTAAAGTTGTCTTTTTGCTCTAAGGAGATTAAATCTAAACAGATTTCGTGCAGGGCAGGAACAGAATGAAGACAATTTGACATGATTCCTATTCACCTTGATGCCTATTAGTGTGCCTTACTCTAGAGTTGCATGCAGAGAGACAGAAAACACACACGATAAACGAGAGCTGGTTTTCACTGGAAGCTTCCATTAACTTAGCAAGAAATCAGGTGCTAGACCTTATTTCAGCCAGTACCAGTAGAAACAAATTTAATTGTAATCTCCTCTATAGAAAACCTAACACTTGCCTCACATTCCATTTGCAATTATAGCCTGTGGTCTTCTATCCTCTTAATTGAAATACATACCAGAACAGCTTCTACAAGGCAAGCTTTTCAGCTAAAATTAATTTCTTCATTTTCTCTACTTTGCAACCTTGTATTATTTTACCACAGGCGAAACAGCAGACCACAGCAACACACATGCTTTGGTCTGAATGCATCCTGAAAACTCTTTGTTTAAGGCATGTACTTCTAAGCTACTAAGAACCTTGATTTCTAAGAAAAAAAATCTGTGGCCATATGACCGCCTTGAAAATGGAAAACATCATGTAGACAATATGCATGTTTCTACAAGTCAGATCTCATTTGAGCAAAAATAGTAGATAGGACTGTCTGTCTAATTAGACATGGATCAAAAATGAAGAACTAAGTACTTTCCTATCACTCCCTGCAGGTTTTGAAGTTGGCGTTTTTCTCCCCTCTGCATACAGTTGTTTGCCTTAGGTTGTAAAGAAATGCAGAGGGCTGTTATTAAAGCACCAATAATTTGCTGAACTCCATCTTTTGTGGTACTTGCTGAGTTAGAAAATTCCTTTTCACCTCCTCCCCCACCTCTGCTTGATTAGAATAACTGAAGAACAAGTATCACATTATGGTGCTAGGTAAAAGGATCTAGTGTGTTTGCAGTTTAAGTGACTAGCACAAGACAGAACAAATCCTAAAGCCTGTCCAGCTAATTGACAAGGGAAAAAAAGCATTTACTTTTTAAAAGCGTATCAAAACAGAGGCTTATGTTTAGGATTTGCTGTGCTTAGTGCTTTATATTCAGAAATTAATTTCTAATATAGTTTGTTAGAAAGTTCTCCAAGCAATTAGAGCCCGAACACATACAGGAGAGTGAAGGATTGCCACTACAACAAGTAAGATTCTGAGACTGCAGAAACAATGATCCCAACCCATCAACTATTTAGTGCTGGCCTCAAGCCAGAAGTCTGGCTTTTACCTTTTTAGAACTCCAGCCCATCACAATAAGAATTTTTATCCAATTCTTTATGTACCATCCCAAAGGAGCAGTACAACAGGTTCTTTCAAGGCCAGTGGCTCCAGTTTAAACTCGGTAAAGATGGCAGCTACTGCTTTGCTCTTCTGCCATAGATTAGTTTCCAAATTGGTACAGCTAAATATGATACCTGTTCCTTATCAGATGCCAGCTGCTACCATTTTTCACTAGCATTAGCATTTTTGTAAACTACAGAAATCAAGGAGTACATAACCTATTTGGTTATCCCCAGCACTGACCTCTGCAGATAAAGTGCTCTCATTAAATCTGCTGCCAAACAGAACCTGAATCTCTTATCTGACAACCACAGAATCACCAAGCCTTTTTGCAAGAGGGACGGACATCACTTAAACCACGCAGAAGTCTTACCAGACAGTACAGATTTGACATTTCCCACCATATCTTCACAACATGAAGCAATCATTTGTGTTCCTTTCCCTGCTTGATCCACTTTCGCAAAGGGCCAAATCTTTCTGTGCACCATTGAGGGAAGAATTTCTTAGATTGAAATGAAATAGATTTCCTCTTTGCCTCTACCTGCTTGTCTTTATTACACATATTCAAGTTAGTGGCCCTCTCTGCTCCACTGCATTCTTCAAACTTGCAGTTTGGTGCAGTTGCCTTGTAGTTCAAAGGAGAGACATGAGAACAGGCAGTAGTTTGGAAACACAGATACATTTTTAATGATTCAACATATAAGAGACTCTAGTTGAACAGCTCAACAACCAGGGAGGGAAGATGCAGTTTCTGTTCCATTGAATGGACAATGATCACAATGCACTTCTGATCACATCCTGTTTTTCTAGGCCAGGAATTCCCACTAACATTGTCTGAATTAGGTTGGTTCTTATGATTTATTACAACTACTACTTCAAGCAGTGATATCACCTGCTAAGGAATTAATACCAAGTTGAAAAGAAAGCAAGAGCAAGCCATCAGTATCTTGATCTCATCAGTAGTGGTGCAAAAACCTGAAGTGCTGGAAAGTATTCTCAGCAGGATGGCCTTCCCTGAGGAAAACAGTTAGGAAGTGCTGGAACAGGGGTGAAGAATGTTTAATACCGAAAAGAGAAGTAACCTCTGCTACCCTCTGAAGACAGCATTTCACACTGCATCTTCACACTGTATCATGTCTGCTGCAGCAAGTTGCCATAGGATGGCAGCAAAGGGGAGACGGATTTTCCGCTGGATAAACTGCTAATGCTAAAGCTTTTAAGCTTTTGGAAAAACAAGATTTTCAAGAGAATCTGCTGATGGAACCATTATCTCACTTGATTACTTCTGGGAAAGAACAAAGAAAACAATGCAAGTAGATTTTATCAGATGGCTGTAACACTACTTCTTGTTTGTATCATATGTAATTGCAATAGTACTCTACAGATCTTTTTTGCACCACAGTTTGGTTTTTTGTTTGTTCTTTTGGGGGGTTGTGTGTATTTGGTTTGGGTTTATTTGTTTTAAGCTTCTGTATATTGTTTTATTTCAGTTAGGGAATGGGAAGTATCAGTTTAAAAAAGCAAACACAAAGCCACAAAGTCAAAATCACAGAGGAGGTGGATGGGGTAAAAACACTAGAAATGAGGCTCTGCATGTAGAAAAGAACAGCCCAATTTTGTCTGGTACTTGAACTTTGCCAGTGACTTGCAGGGGGAGCACAAATTTAGCCAGCATTCTACAGGTTCTCTACCTATCTTCTCTGTGTTGCCTGGCCTTAAAGAGGGAGACGGTTTCAATTGCAACCTTCAAGAGCTAGGAGAGACTGTGGGAGAACCACCCCTGTTCTAGTGCCATTATGATCAGACCGAAATCCCAGAGTAGCAAACATGTCAAACAGCAAACCAAAGCCATCACGGTTGTTTACCTGGACTCATGCAACACAGGTGTCCTCAGAGGAGGGCTTGCGCCACGTTCTGACATTTCAATTATTCCACACACAAGGACATCATTAAACTGAAATCTTAGAACTCCACCCTTTTGCCTCCTGCATAACCAGGAGTGAAGTACATTTAAACTACCAAGGCCTGAACAAGTTCAAGCAGACAAATCTTCAGTGCTCCCTGTCAGAAAGTGGATTAGCAGAGAGCCGTTTACAAAAGTAAGACTCCTCTTTGAGGAAACTGTTGCAGAGTAACAAGGAAAATGTTTACAGACAATAAACATCCCATCCTAGGCAGATGCCTGCTCTTCTCTCATGCTATGGGACTTTGACAGAATAACAACTCCATTGGAGTTCTGAATACTTTAAACTCACTAAGAGGAACATAACCACTCTAGTGACAAATCCCAATACAATTCCTTTAGACTAAGGAGGGAAAAAAACAACCAATTTTATTCAGGATCTAAAAATATCCTTTCTACCTGACATAATAAAACAGGGACTGAAAGGCATCAGCAACTAGCTATGCAAAGCATCAATACTTTCAGCTAGTAATCCATAGAAAATGAATAAATAATTCATAATTACATATGTAGTGTACACAATGCATGTCAAGGAATGCTCCAGAGAGAGAAGCACAACAAACATGCTTTACTCTCCAAAAGCAAAAATCCTCCAATTATTACTATCACATGCAGCTGCAAAGCTACATTAGGTATTTTTCTCATGATGTTTTATAGCCTGGATCAACTCTGCATCCTAAAATGTAGAGGAAGTATTCAAAAATAGCACTAGTACAACACTAGTACCTAAAGCAGGTGCATAACAAACTGAAGAAAGCAAGATTCAATCCTGGAGTCCCTTGCTTACACTGTACACCCCTGGATTTATCCCCAGAAAAAAAAAAACATCAGCCATTTACACTGAGGCTTCTGTAAAGCAAGAGCTGTTGTCTTGCTCTTTTGGATTTTAGTCTCCAGTTCCTCCCCTTTGTTGCATAGATCATGCAGCTTTCAGACAGGCAGAAGCTCTGGGGGATATTCACCATAGCAGTATTTTGCAATTGGATCTCTGTAGGTGTTCTCATGCTGCACACTCTGTCAGGAAGAGGAGAAGCTTTATCAGAAGATACGAACTGAAACAACACATCCCTTCACTGAGAGCCAGAACCCAGAGCACTTGTAGACATTTTACACAGTAGTGTCATCTGGAGTCAAACACCACTGCACTCCTTACATGTAAAAGACAGTTGCTGTATTACAGTGCTTTTATGGTGAACCACACCCAGAATCTCCTTTTCAGGAGGCTACACAAGCATGTGGGAACAGCTTCAGTATTAAAAAGAGTTCTACATGCTTAGGCAGTATTGTCAAATGTCCTAAGCAAGCAAGACATAATACACTCTGAGATGTATGCATTTTTCTTGATAAAGCTAGAGTGCAGATACTATGGGTAAAATAAAAAACAACTTTGGAGACATCTGGAACTACATCCTCTGTTTGTAATCCATCCCTATTACTATACTAAATACTCAAGTTACATGACATCTCCAACAGCACTTTCTAAGTGCTTGCTTAGATCAAAACTTCCAATAAAATCCCACAGGTAACAGAAGTTAACCTCCATTCTTAAAAAGAAAATAAATTATAAAATGCTTTTTGAGTTACTGTGCAGGTAATTGTCAACATATGGTAAGTCTAGAATAGTACCACAAAGAAAATAGCATCCTTTAGCTACTGGGAACAACCCTCACGGTTCTCATCCTTATGAGATCTTCCCCAGAACTCATCCAAGATCTTCACCAGTCACTAAACTCAGCTAGTCTCTTTTTAGTTAAGTACCTTTTTTCTAAAGAGAGTGTGCAACTCACCCTGCTCTAAATATGCTCTTTGCCCTTCATTTGCTGCTGCTGTTACTATTTCACCTTAAAAATCAGAGGGTATTGCCTCACATTAGCTCTCAGCCATAGCTTCAGCATTTATTAAAGTGTCCACGTGCATGCAAGCACAACAGACCCCATTTTCAAAGGGTATTTTTCCACTTTTGAGCACGGGACAAGTATTTGTGTCTTACCTGTGATGAAGTCCTACATTTTGCCAGACACAACTCAAAGTGATCTTCCACTGCCATGAAGAGGTTTTGGAAAGCAATAGCTGCACGGTTCAAGAAACGTTCCAGAAGATGTTGCTGAAGTGGTCAGCAAAAAAGGGCAACAAAACAAAAAACTGTATTTCAGCAAGGAGTAACCAAATCCCACTTTAACTTACACAGCTCAAGTCTCAGAGGAATAGTAAGCAACTCCACTTAGAACTTCTAGCAAGCACTAGAAGGTTAACACATCATGGAACCAACAGTAGGAAGAGAGTCTAGAGAAGCTAACAGAACACAGGGAAGTGCCAATTGCAAAACTGATACTGGCTGGAATAGCTTTCCTGCAATTAATTCCCTTCAACAAACACAATCCCCCTAGAGCTGAAACATTTTGCAAGGCTCCCAATATTTCCTCTCAATGGTGGGAAGGATGAACTTTTTTTAAAGCTTTATTTATAGCTTGCCACATGCAGGTTTTCCTCATCCTTCCAAGAAAAGGAACTGTCCCCTCTAAGAAAAAAGCCCCTCACAAACAAGCACTTTTAGCCACAGAGGAACCCAAGCAGCTGAGAACACCTGAAAAGCAGGAGAACATCTCTGCACCTTGCTGGGCTGCAGGCAACAGGAAACACAGTACTCATAGACACTGCAGCAGCCGTTGGGAAGGCAGCTCTCACAGCTGTACAGCTTCGTACTGGGCACGTTGACATTACAACAGCCATTTACCAGTAGGTCCTTCCTCTCACAGATGTAGCCTGAAAAACAAAAGCAGTAGTAACAACTGGCAAGATGCACTCCTTTGTATGCTCTATAGAAATTCACAGCAAGAATCACGTTACTTGAGAGGAGGTTTATTTATCACTTAGTAGATTATGATCGCCCTCAATTTGACTCAAGTCATAACTAGCAATAACACTTAGACATAGGGGTGAGTTTCACAACAGCCTGTTGTGAAATAATAGGCACAACCATTATGTACTTAATACACTGTATGTACACTGTAAGTATTTAAATGCAGAACATGTAAGTTCTGATTTCTTTTTGGCATGATTCATTGCTGCGATAGGAAGGGGAAAGGCAATTGATGATGACTGTACTGGAAAAAACTGATATGTTCTTTCAACTTTTCTATGTCTGGATAACTCTCTTCAGTTCAGTATGAAGAGACTTAGATTTATCCACACAGGATGGCTGTAATAGTCAATTGTTAGAGGAATCCTGACTTGTTCAGAAGCACAGCATATGTCCTTACAGAAACTGTATACCAGTGTTAGACTGTGAGAGCAATCTGTGATGTTAGAGACCTCAGTGAATTGGCATAAGTATAACTCAGGCAGTGCTAAATTTAAATCAGTGTAAATCACACAAGATGGGGTGGGTTTTCTACAGCCTTGATTTCTGGTTGAGAAAGGTCCAGTGCCTGAGCAACAAGCTCACTGGGCAGGAAAGAGCTCCATGCACTGAGAACAATGTGCTTGGGTTTACAAGGGTCAGATGAGCTCCATAACTACGACTGAGCACTAATGATACCACTCCTGAGCTGCCTCCAAGCAAGGCCAGTCAGGTTTCCCCAATTACTCTCCTTAATATAGCCGACTGTGGGAAAACACAGGGAGCTACAAACAGTTCTGCAAGCAACCACACTAAAGTGAGCAGGTCTCAATGTGTAAGTTCTGTGCAGAGGTAACTGGAGTGCTTTGAAACTGATGTGGGTCTGAGACCAGCATGTGCTGAGCCACTTGGACCCACGCCTGCTGTGCACAGTCAAACAGCAACATGAATCCAGTCTGTGGACAGAACACCAGCAGGTGAGATGATGCAGTAAGAATGCCTTAAGAAGGAGCAATTGCTACCTGAAAGGGCCATCAACAATCAGACAGGCAAAGCAGCATTAAACACTGCAATATGCAGAATAAATTCTTAGTATCAAGTATACCCAGTTCATCTGTAATGAGGAGCTTCCCCTGCACAGAATTCCTGCACTGGTTACTCAGCTGACTGCTGTTTCCCGAACTGAACTTCACCTTCCACATGATCGGCTGCTCATGCTCCTGCACTTGGAGGAGATTCCGATCTCTCACCATCCTCTCTTCCTGCAAGGAAAGACAGTAGTACAGACAGATACCCAAACATCCAATTCCTTCTGCCATTCCAATCAATGTGCTTTTCCCACAATTAGAAACGTCTAGTAGTATTAAACTCTGCAGAATAAGAAACTACAGTGTCAGTGGCATAAGCAACATACTACTTGCAGTAGGTTACTTTTTGCATGACAGAAAGCAGTACAATCCAGTAAAACAGGGGGATGGAAGTTCACCAAAGGTTCAGCCAACACAGCTGGATTCGGTCACTGCCACCACAGAAAAAGCACGTATACCAAGTAACAGGTACGCGTACTCCTCTAAGTTCCGCACCTGAGGACCAACAGTTACTCTGGGATAGGGATGTTTTACCCGCCCGCAGCGGGCCGGGACCGGACCCCGCCGGCGGGAGGG